GTCAAAATATTGTGAACTGGATGTAGCGGAAGCATATTTTAATTCATTTTTCATATGCTGATTCAAGTCTGAGGTAGGAAAAGGCTCACTAGAGTTGAATAGAAAAGGAAGGCTGAACTCTAGTACTTCGATCCGGGTTGAGATCGTAGATGAATGCACACAAGATTTTGCGATTTTCTTCTCGTATAAGATTAATAACAACCAGTCTCACTATGAAAGTTGTCCACATTCTTTTCATATGTTCCAATGCTTTATTTAACCAGTTAATGAACTGAGATAGAAGAAAGTTTTATGCAGTAGAATAATGAGTTCAAAAACAATCATTTTATTGAAATCAAAATAAGGGAAGTAATTTTTATTAGAATAGAATAGTATATAATGGCTATTTGTATATCTATCTGCCAGTGTGTCTGTACACTTATCTTAAGGTATAAACATATATGTAATACTTATCATATAGATACATTAATATATTTTATCTCTTTCTTAACGACAGTTTCTGAAAGCGCAAAGTCTGAGAAAAAACTCTGTGTTATCATTCAAGCGGTTAATATCCTAAAATGCTATTCTTCATATCCCTGTTACATACCTTTTTTTAAAGTAAAATATTTTGTTTATTTTTGGTTTGTTGCTCAATGTAAAGTGATCAAATGAAAGTCTAACCGAAAAATGTGTCACAGAAAGTCGGAAAGAGTACTCCTGCTGTTAATGACTTAAAACGATAAAATCATGTTGTGCTGTACTTTTAGAAAAGTTTGATTGATAGCTTATTAAATTCGAAGAGCGAAATGGCATAAAATTACCTCTCAAAAGCTTGTAATCAAAATAATATAAATAAAAATATGCTACCAAATATGCAGTGCGTTTATATACTAAATGGGCAGAGCATGAAGAAAATTTAAATTAAGATCTCTAATTTAAAATTTCAGTAAGAATATTTTTAAGTCACGAGCCATTTTATGTAATATTTTAATTAAAACGATGTCAAAGAGAATTTTATTCTGTTTATTTTATAATACTTTTATTTTATAAAAGAACATATATAATAGAGGATTTTAACCATTATAGTCTTGAATATCGTTGAAAATTTCCTAATTTAAATTCGATTATTTTCCTCTACTAGTAAAGAGGATTTAAAAACCCTCTGATTATATTATTTTGATGCAGATAAGTGAAAATAAGATCTTGCTTCATACGTATTATATTATCAGTAATTATACGCTATTCAGAATGAATAATTATTATGCTATAAAACATAATTTTTACTATATTACATAATTATTATCATTATATAGGATTACTGATAATATACGTATATTGCTATAGCATTATATGAAATACATCAAATATTAAACAGCAGCCCATTCTTGGAGAAAATAGCACAATTAATTATTTATGTTTGTAGCATCTCAGTATATTTTCCTTCAAACCGAAGCCTTCCCAGCTTGGTTCTTTCTCTAAGGAAATAAAAATGTTCCGCATAAAAACATAACTGAGCTTTTGATCATTAATGTTTTCGTCCTCTTGTTTATTGCTTTCTCTGCGAATTGATTATCGTTCCATTTTAGTTTCTCATTATTTATTTCTTTTTTCCTCCTACTTAAGAGACATTTTCAGCGTGAAAAGTATACTTTTTATTGTTTATTGGAGGATATTTTTTCAGTCGGTTTCTAACCTATCTAGTGCCTGCAACTAACTTTTACTTTTTACGTTGTCGCTACAGTGCGAGAAAACTTTGCTGCATGTTCTGTAACAGATTGATGCTTTTTATAGCAAATCACATTTCGAACCCAATTTCGGCTTTTAAGGTAGAGTATTTTTTATTTTAGGAAAGGCAGATGCTCTCAGTTTTCATTTACTATGACTTTTTTTTTTTTTTTTTTGGTAATTTGAGAGGAAAAAGTGCATTTTTATTTGGGCAATTTATTTCCTGTCAATAAAAAAGTGACAACAAATGAACAGATAGATGAAATAAAGAGACGTTAGGTTAATGCGATAAATATTACTCCATTTTCTCTTTTGTGTAGCCCTTAGGAACAAAAGAAAGAAACCGTTCTCATTAAACGATCTGAAAATCGGTAATAACAGATGTCTGTTATTATCTTTTGTGTTTGATTATGAAAAGTATCTAATATCATAGTTACTACTTACTTTATAATAACAATTTTTTCATTAAATAGTTTAGCTTTGTGATCGATATTTCATATACTAGTATATTAGTCTCAAGTTGTCTATAAAAATTAGTCAGATTTGAAAAAATAAAATCATCAGGGCTAATCAATGAAGACTGATGTATTTGAAGTATAAAATCATGTTAAATAATATTAAATTTATGATTAAACTAATGAGGTTTATATGCATCACAAACTACAATTTTATGGAGAAAGGGGACCTCTCTTCTTTATAAAATTTTAAAAATTAAACAAATAAATAAATAAAACAAAAAAAAAATATCAGAAGGCTTTCAGATTTTATATTAAACCCAAACGAGCGTTTTGTGTGTCACCTTTATTTCTTAAATATCATGTTCTTCGCTCCTAAACATAAAATTCCATTCAACAGCAATATCACAAAATATTTAAAAATAGCCTATCTTTATAATTTTCGAGAGACAGTCTCGTTCTCTGGAGCTCGCTTTTTTGTTACGGTGTTGCTACTGTTCGTTTTGAAACCGTTGAGTTCAAAAATTCGTTAAACTTTCACGAAACATGAAATAGGTAATAAAACTAACTCGAAATTAAAATTCGGGCTTCAGGTGCCCATGTTTGGGTGGAGAATTACGTTATTCAAAATTTGATGGTACCGTCGTTTTTTCACAATGCGACAAACATAAATGCATTCATGCAGATTCTTCATTATTTAATTTCTTCAAATATAACACAGGGTGATAATAGATAATATTTGATAGCAACAATTTAAAACGTGATACGCCGTTTATAGTGAACCGATGCAAAACGCCGTTTCGAGACTAACCGTCACTCTGAGCTAACGCTTATTTGGGCTAAAAAGAAAAAAAAAAAAAAAAAAAAAAAAAAAAAAAAAAAAACTGTCAATACGCAAATGCCTTGCAGCCTATTTAATTCTTCTGCTATAGTCTGTTAATTTAGAACATTCACATTAAGGCCATTTTTCTTCAAACAAGCAACATAACCAGGATAACGACTGCTGCAGAAAAAAGGTAGATTGTTCAGTGATGATGACACACGTGACGATCGTAAACAAAGGGTAGTTTTGCTACGACATTTTTTTTTCCCCAATGGCAGATTGTGAACAATTACAAATGTAACCCTGTTCATTAATCTATACAAGGCCGCATGTGGTGGTCTCTTTATTATGGAGGCACCTAATGGTGGGCTACCATCGCCTTTCCTATGAGTGGACGGACAGTTAACCATGCCTTCTCCGGGATTCGAACCCAGGCTCTTCGGCATCACAGTCAGCTTTCCTGACCACTATGCCGACTGGACGGCTGTTCTATTACGACCTTCAAGCACCTATTTTAAAGTTACATACTTTTGAATGGCAAATAGGGTAGGCTTGTGATCAGTTACAGAAAGCCAGAGAGAGAAACGACGTAACAGTAAATGTCCAGGTATCAGTGTATTACTCAAAAGAGAAAACTCACTTTTGGAGCAGTATTTGACAATTTAACAATTTACTGGGGAGTTTTATTTATTTATTTTCCTTAATCAAGGAAACGTATTTAATGGACGTTACTTAACCTTTGGCAGTTTTTAAGCTCAATGTGAAATCTAATCCAATGCATATTAATATGAGATTATGTTTTTCAATTTGAGCTCCATTCTTCAAAAGCTTTTATTGTAAAACGCTCTACAAATAAATAAATTTGCTCAAACGTATGCGATCAGTCTTGATCATAAAGACAATGGTTGAAAAATCATTAGATTGCTAAATAGTATAAATTCATTATAAAAAGCAGATGCTTCATCATCTGGCACTTTGGTAGTGATCTGTTTCTCTAATACAAGGATATTACGTGTTAGACTATAGCATTTCCTTTATACGAATTTAATATTCCTTTCACTTTAAATTTTTATTAATAAGAAGTTGATTGTTATTGTTCTATCTCGGTGGTGTAAACCAAATTGAAATAACAAAAAAAAAAAAAAAAAAAATGGGAATATTAACCCAAACATAAAAAAAAGGAAATGTTCAGTGAAGTGTTTTAAAATGTTCAAATAATGAACTAATTTATCTACGCTTATACGATTAACTTTCATGTTACAGATACCTGTCTTTATTCTTATTTAAAATATATGTAGACGCTTTTAATTCGAGTTACTGAGATATCAGAAATCGAACAGTTATTAATATTTCTTATAAACTTTCTAATAATACAGCGGTCATTAACAAAATTCTTACATAACTTCTATTCTAACAAAATAGTGGTCCTTTTACAGCAACGGTATATAAAAAAAGAGTAACTATCACTGTACAGTCTATTTGTAGAGTAACTATCACTTTGATATGGCTGACTAGGAATACGCACGGAGTTTTGAGCTCCAATTATATGTCTTCATTTCAGCAAAAATATTTCCCTTCTATAATATAAGTTTCATTTAATGTACCATAAATAAGGTGATTACACATTTTTAGAAGAAATGTTGGGGCCGTTTAATTAATGTTTGAAATGTAAAGAGTAGTTTTTCAAATGTTTGATCTGATAGCTTTCTTCCGAACTATAGGTCAGCATCATGATTTCCATGTCAGAAGGAACTTTCGTGAAATTTGTAGTGATACTGGCTTCCCTTCCTCGCCATCTGTTTTCCACAGTTCCTAAGATTTAAAATGTTTAAAATTTACCCCGCCATATGCATTTAAACTGAATCTGGATGCCGAATTTGCAATTTAAGTAACAAAGCTAATAAAATATAATATTATTACAAATATGTAGCTCTCGAATTCTCGGCCGAAATATTACACCTACATATCTGATGTTTAAATATTTATTCTCAGAATCAAAATAATTTTATTCTTACCTTTTCTTTTCCTCTTCATAATATGAATTTTAATGACAAGGATAACTAGAAGAACGACAAGAAGAAGACCACCAACAACTCCACATAAGATGAGAATCATGGGATGTAAAGTTAATTGCCAATCGTCATCTAGAAAATAACACTTACTTAAGAATCTTAAAATACATTTAAATTCACAAACACAGAAATAATATGGCAAGATATATGAATATATCGAATAAAAATTATAGTATTATTTAGTTATTTCTGTCAAGGTAAAGCCTATTAATATAGCCGAAAAAATAAAGTTTGCAATAAACGTGATGAATGAATTACACAAATTTTTGTAATTATTTACTTTTAGAAGAAGCCTTATCTAATGATTAAAGTTATCTGAACGTGGAAAGGCACTGGAGCGCTATCTACCTAAGAGGATTTCGTGGAGAAATTCTAATGGAAACGAACTCGTATTTATATTACACGGGAGGGGGGAGAACCACAAAACTAACCAAACAACCATTCTGGGTTCGAACACGGGTCGAATTTAACCGCTTGACTGCTGGTGGGTCCTTTTAATAATAATACAAAATTTAAAAAATTCGAATTCACTAATATTGTACGATAATGTTATTTTGTATTCAGTGATTAAAACTCGAAAGTTTTTTATAAATTATATATTATATAAATATATGGCACTGTTTCTAATATTATAAGAAGTTATTTTACGATTTTCAGATTTAACTTCTTTTTCTCTTTATACCACTTACAAACGACTAAATTTAATGGTTTAATTTTATTACGAAATGTTTTACAGTCGTATTGATAAATTATTTATTTTTCCATTCATGCATACAATAATATGTCCACCTTTTAAAATTGCTACATTTTTTATATTCTTTATAAAGCATAAATGAGTTTTATTTCCTAGCATCAAAGTAGGAAAGCTTGATTCGTTAAAAGTGCTTTCTTCTTCAAAAGAAACGGCATTATTACTTGAAAGCCATCATTCCGGAAATTTATAGTTTCTTAAATGTTACAGAATAAGACGTTTTATACCAGATGCTAAGCTTATAAAAGTGGACATCCAAAATAATCCAATTTGATAAAAGCAATCGGTAATAAGCGCTTTCACAGTCACTAAACACTATTCTGTAACGGGATTTCGCAAAAAGCATTTTTTAAGTAATCGTAATGGATGGCAGTATTGGCAATCCGTTTATCTGCTGCGGTTCTTCTTTTTAACGATATTTACTCCTTTATTTTCCCATTTATATAAAGAATATATGGTGGCATCTTACTTAATCTTCATAGCATATAGTATGAGTAAAATTGCTGTCTTATTATAACCTTATTCATTTTTAAAAAATTACATCTCATAAAAAATAAGTTAAATTAATATAAAATAGTTATTCGAAAACATTCTGAGTTTTATAATAATGCCTCTATATATCACAAATTTGAAGTAAGTTTATTTAATTATGGCAAAGCACACTAGGGCTATCTGCCTAAGGGGAGGGATGCCTTCGTGGAAGACTTTCTAAGGGAAACTGGCTCGTATACACATTACACATGGGGAAAACCACGAAAACACCCATGCAGCCAGCCCGTTCGCGGGAATCGAACCTCGGACCGAACTACCAGTGTTCAGCGATTTTACCGCTCGGCCGCTGGTGGGCCTAAATTTGAAGTAAGAGAAACTAAGTTGGTTTATTTGCATAGCAGTGTTGATTATATAGTAAGTGCATAATAGTGGTGTTTCATAACGTTACTACAATATATTACAAATTTAAGGGGGCTCATACACCCTAAACCCCTTATGATCTTCGAATATGTGACTGATGCAAGAATTGGGATATTTTATTTATTTTAAAAGCAATTACTTCCAATTTTTTACAGCTGACTACATAATATAGCTGCTTTAGAAACTAGTAACCAGATAGTTTGTGTTGCCACAAATGTGTTGTAATTTAATTCGCTTTGTGACAAAAATATTTCGTCATGTTTCCACCTTGCGCGCATGGATATTTTAAAAATGGCTAATGGCACGTACTTAAATTTAATGGAATTCCTTTATATGGGACACCTATTTTCTAACTGAACCAAAAATTTGATGAATATTTTAGTATTAACGCTCGAAAAAATTAATTAATTAAATTATGGTCGAAAACGTTACAGATTTTTTTAATAAAATTACATTTTATAAACTGAACTCCAAATAAAATAAAAACATTAACATGGAATTTTTAGAATTTTAGGTTCAGAGAAGTTTCCAAATGTTATGAAAGGTATATATTAAATATGGAATTAAATTATGCAACAGAATGTTTTAAAACTGTGCGAGCAAGTTGGAAACATGACGAAACATTTTGTCACAAAGCGAATTAAATTATAAAATGTTGTGGCAACACAAACTTTCTGATTACTATTTCAGAAAGCAGCTATATTATGTAATCAGCTGTAAAAAGTTGGAAGTAATATCTTTTAAAATAAATAAGTTATCCCAATTATTGCAACAATCACATATTCGAAGATCTTATGAATTTTAGGTGTCCCTTAAAAATTTCATCTCATAAAAATAAATAAAAATTTCGGAATAATTTAAAAAAAAATATTTCAGGTTTTTTAGTAATCATCTATAAACTGTGACTTGAAGTAGTAAGAAATAAGTTTTAATTCCTTGCATGGGAATGCTGGTTTAAAATGATCGTATTCAGCTAGAATATAACATAAGCTACCTTTATCTTATGGTAACTTTAATACCATATTTAGTTTTCATTTCCATTGTTGACCTCAGATTTTTGGTTTGGATACACAATTCCTGCTTATTTTTTGATTAGATATCTTTAAACTCAATTCATGCTTTAATTGTGCTGTGTATTTTCGGAAATATTTAGAAAATATTTCAATTATATCCAATAAAATACGAAAATTAAACGATAGATTTTATCATGTGTATATGGAGTCAAAGTTCTACTTACAATGATAGGGATACATAATCTTAGCAAAAAAGGTCAATAAAATGTACCGTTTCTAAAACTATTGCAGCACGACATATAAGATTCCAGTATATTATATCTGATGACTCATTATAAATAAGTTAGCATAAGTTAATTACTGATTGATTTCTACTGGCACAAATGTGCATAATAATGATCATATAGAATGCCTTTACTTGTTAATCAAAAATATATGTTAATCAATTTCTCTTTTGAGGAGGCATAAAAACTGCATCACAACAACTTGTAGTATATTATTATTACACTTCATTGTTACCATATTTTATATTTTCCACATAACTAGATTTTATATCTCTATAAATATGTTAAAATGTCTAGCTAATTTTGTTACTTTTCGAAGAACCACAGGAAAGGAAATCTCTTAATTTTGAATGGAAATTTCTTTTTTTGGGCATAAATTATGGCTTGTCTTAAACCGAGTAGATAACGCTGATTTTTGAAATATACCTTAAATATTTATTTCACAAAAAGAAGATTAAATAGCGCAAGTCCCGTTCTGATACCTGGGATAAATTTCTAAGATTCCGTACAGTTACTTGATTATTTTAAATGCCAAATTATATTCACACGAAGATATGGAATGTATAGATGAGTAGAAAGTCCAAAATCTAGGAAATCGTCTAACCTTCGGCGATTCTGCATTTTAGAACATTTGTTTAAATCTAGAATCGCCGATGATACGTACGATGACATGTCGACATTGAGATCTTGATTTATTGTTTAGGTCTGACAGAAAATTTTTAATCCCCTTCCCCCACAACCATCAAAACCGAAAGTATGATCCTAGCCAACATCAGCACAACGTCAATCAATCGCTAATCAGTCGCACTACTGACCATAGTGCGACTCTCTAGCCAGCAAGTTTTTAAAAGGGCATTCAGAAACACTAGTTAATTTGAAAAAAAAATCGCATTAATGGCTACCCGCTTCTGTTAATCAGTATATTTTTCGTTCTTAGAATTTATATGGCGGGCTTTTGGAGAAAGGACGATAGAAAATAGTGCAATGTGTTTCATGTGTGAAAACTATTAATTGTGCAACATTGTGGTCACATGCTTTTGATCAGAAAAAGCAATAATCCGATTTACATTTAAAATCGTTCGCTGTATGTGGGAAAATTGTCTTTCACGAAAATGTGTATAAGCTGAACACATTTCCTGAAAATCTGTGTAAGCTGAACACACATTTCTTTCAAAGTCATGAAGGTTTGTTAAACTTTGCAAGATAGCGTTAATCATATTAGTCGATGTACCCGAATTTATGAAATAATTTATTGCAAAGCATATCATTGGCTCAGAAGACAGGGTCAGATAGTTCGCTTATTACACGCACCTCCACTGGTGAACCAAAACCACACTGAGCGATTAGCTATAGTCGCTTCTGGCATGAGGTTAGGTTCTGTCCCATGACCCGTCCCAAACCAGGCTCTCTCCCGTGATTGTGCCATCACGGTTATATTTGAAAATAATCGGATAATAATCTTCGTCATCTTTTAATTTGACCAAACAGAATGATTTAAAGCAGTCGGTATTTGATTAAATTAAAGATGCTTGTCAAAAAATTACTTAAATAGCATTGCAGTTCATTTATTTTAGTTTCATTTCATATGAAAAGAACGTACTATTTCTTTAAAAAGATAAACAATTTGCATCTTCAGACTTCTATTTTGATCAAGAATCATGCGATTTTCTATTCACTACTTTATGCTTTATTTACCTTGTCTTGTTTGACTTTCAGGCAAAGCAGCTGTTGATGCGTGTATGATCACAGGTCGACTCCTTCCTCTAGCGTTACTGGCGAAGATTGACACGGTGTACTTGGAACCTGGGAAAAGTGCTCTGGCAGTGAAATCTGCGGTCTGAGCAGACACGTTCTGCTGAAGAACATTGCTTGCCATGTCGCGAATCTCCATGAAGAAGTACTGGCTAAGTCCTCCATCTTTCCCTTCCATGCATACTATGCGAAAAGAGTTTTCACTTTCTTCAGTAACAGTGCAGTTATGAACTGGATTCGGAGGCTCTGGAAAAGAACAAAAACATGCGCTTGTGGGCAACATGAAATTTGCAACTTTGTGATGTAAATAAACTACATAAGTGTTTAAAGATATCATTCGTCGAAAGAAAAAACGTTTGAAAATTCCTGCCAATTAAGGAAAATTATTTTTCCAGATCGTTAATGTATTGTGAAAAATTACAAAATTTGATGAACTGATCCGTTTCAGTGCTACGGACTATGAAGCAGTTAAATTTCGAAAAGTCATATTTTATTTACTGGATAATTTTTTCAGGGTGAAATCAAGTAGTAATTAGTAATTGCATAACACAAGAGGCGAATCTAAAGTGAATACCGTTTACACTACATGTGGGAAAAATCATTTAACCAGAAATTTACTCTTGAACTAGTTTTTGTGTTAACCGATTTTATGCATTGAAGTGTGTTGCTGAATTTGTTCGAGTGTCAGTCTTCCCCCTTTATTTTTGTAAAAGTAACGTGCACTTTAACAATTTGTAGGGATTTATATTTATTTTAAATAACCAATTTTGTTTAATTTGTTATTCTTTCTTATAAGCTTTCATTTCCCTGATTGCAAATGCCAAAATATTTAAATTTGGTAGCGCGCGTAAAAGAATGCGAATTCTACCTTGAAGAAAGTATTTAAATGCTGAGGTTCAGTAAGAAAGAGGGGGAGAGATTACTTGCTGCCACTAGTTTTCGACGGGGGTTTAAGAAACAGGAAATATTCTGAGCCCTGTAGATTAGTTCGACGACTTGTACATATCTTCAAAGCTTTAGTTAATTCTTTGATTTCAGTTACCGCCTAAGCAGAGGCGTAGTTTGTTAGCGTCGAATTGACGCATTGTAAATTTTAAAGAGTTAATAAAGTGTATTTTAACCCCTCTTGTGTGCAGTTACTACTATTGCAGTTCTCAAATTCTTACAGTTAATCATGTAGACTCTACAAATTCAATAATTTATCGCTTGTCAATATAAATAATCTAAAGTGAAATCTTGTTTCACGTACATAATTCGTTTCTGGAGATAGTTCGTGTCTCGAAATATTCGTAACCCGAAACATTTTCGCCACAACATTTAGTGTAAAATGAATTACTCCGTTCCCGGCAAGTGATTGCTTAGGAAAGAGTATTTTGCACGTAAAAATAAAGAAATGCTGAAATGATGTCATTTATTGCATCTAACACAGACACAATATTTAAATCAATACTTAATATATAAAAAACAGAAACACTTGAAATAAATTTTACGGTGCCTCTACGAAGGAAAGCTGACTGCGTAAGAGGAAAACGGTATTATTTCAAATTATTATTTGAATATATTATTATTATTTGATATATTATTATTTGAAAGGGGAATCCTATTTCGTTAAAAATATCAGGTAGCTGAATGCCTTTTTTTCTCCCTCTTTCGCTTTCACTTAAACCTCTACTTCAGAATTGCAAGCCTTCTTCCCATTAAAAATTTACTGAGTGTGATTTGCTTTTATCTAAGTTTGAAAATATTCCTAAAGTAAGACATGCTACTGTTATCGTAAATATTTCTGCAGTGGGTTACTACTGCTTTATAGAGGTGATAATGTTCTGTTAACATTCGCCCCTTACCCCATTTTGCGCAAAGTTCGTGGATCAAAAAATTAGGATCCTCCTTTTTTCCATCTTCTTCTGAAAACATTTCACCCGCTGAATTAACTGGCTTTTGGAATATCATTTGTTTCGGGATTACTTGTACGTTGTACTCGAGACATTCTTTTTTAACCAAGTTTTGTTTGCAAAATTTGGTCGTGATCTGGAATTCCACTGTACGGACCTTTGCATTTCCGGAGCACAAGGAAGCCCTGACAACTGCTTCATGGAATGTCCACTGACCGAAAGCTTCCATATCAGAATGCATTCCACCAACATCAGTTCTTTTAGACGGTTTATATTGAGAACTCCAGCTTTACGACAGAGAGTCTACAAAATCATTAACCTGCTAATATCATCAGGACTGAATATTGTGGCCAAGAACTTAGAAAAATCTGTAAATGTTCTTCCTGAAACGCTTCCGTAGTGTTTGTACGAGCAAATGTATTCTGTTTTCCACCATCAGCGGCAGTGCTAAAGAGTACTACTAGTGCCAGAATTGCAGCAGTAATAAATTAGGTAATTAGTTAAGTATTTAAGTAGTAACATATATAAGCATTCCAGCTTATATGGATGTATGCATATAAAATATGATACATAGGTACTTTATGTATCCAAGATTTGTTGTATTGCAGCTAACGCATTCACGTAACATCATCCAGGTCCCAGTTTGTTCATGTGACTTCACAGTGAAGCAAATGCATTCCCGAGGCAGGCCACCTGGGTTTCGTGAGCTGCCGGTTTAAGATAGTGAAGTGAGTGGGACATATATACGCTTTACCCTTGTTAGACACCAGGTGTCCCCGTCACCTGTATTTTAAATTTAAGATACAAATATTACTTGCTATTTTACTTAATATATATTAACACAAATTTGTTTCAAAGATTATGTTTGCACCATTTAATTTTATTTCTTGCAGAACGTTTTCAGCATTCCTAGCTTATATAAATGAGACCGCCTCAGATACCATCCTGTTTTATTCTTCTCAAACGCGTTCAAAACATTTGGCAATCTTACACGCTATAATGAATTTTATTGTCAATGTAATAAGGCTTCTGATGAAAAGTTTGTGTATGTACATATGAAATATGTGTAAGTAAATATTAAGTGTATAAATCTATTTGTAGAATGGTCAATAATTCAAATAAATAGGAGCAAATTGTGACAAAATTATTTTTAAATATTATCACTCTGAGTAAAGAGATTCATAACTGTAAATAAATAAAAATAAATAATATATATTTTATGACATGATTGAAAACAAATTATAGATAAATAAATTAAAAAGGACCTAGAAAAATAACATTGTGTGAAATCATTTTCTATGAAATTCAAACTGAACTAATTTAACATTAGAAAAACGCTAATTTTTTTCGTTGCTTTAATGTCAAGCTTCGTTTCGACAGGTTCCATTAAAATCACGACAATAACATATTCAAAGAATTTTTCAAGTAAAAAATAATTCTGTACGTTAAATTTAGAGCTAATTTTCAGAACAAATATTAAAACATAATATATTTAGCTATAAAATGTTTTTATAAGCATATGTAAATCTATAAAAGAAGATATTTTAAGTAAAATTAATGTAATATTGAAATAGGTGATTACAAAGTAAGCTAAATAGATGAAAAGCTCTTCATGAAATTACGCGGTGTAATAAAGGCAACATCAAATTCATAAATTATATTAATTTGAAATTAAATATTTACAATGCTGGGTGGATATTGTATACGTATATACACGTCGTATATACGTATATACACGTCGTACAGTTTTTTCATTTTTTTGAAAGTGCCACATCGGATACATTCTTCGAAGTCAAGTTCTTTTCACCCTATCTGTACGAAGTCACCGTCTCTATATCTCTATCGTCTTTTATTTTATTACTATTTGCGGATACAATTACATTTAAGTGCATGAAAGTTTTTCTAGGAAATGTAGCAAATTTTGTTTTTGCTTTTTTTATCAGCTTTAGAATCACTGTCAAATATGTGTAGTTTCTGCCGAAAAAAATCTTCATATTCTTCGAATGTTTCTTCTTTTCGATTCATTTTCGTCTAATTCTCGCAGAAGCTGCTCAGTTAGTTGCTAAGTGTCTCGGCGTTCGAAAACCCTGCCCTTTCGGGATCGCAGTAGGATTCTCTAACCACTATACTGTCTGGGCGGCTCAGAAGACTGTTCAGGTGCTAGCTAAATTCTATTCGCGAAAGAAAAGATCTAGCAATCAGTATCTGCAAACGTAACTAAGTTTGCTTAAACGAGGAGAGTTGTCTTGCAAAAGATTTTAAATCAGTTTTCAATTAGTAACAGTATGGTAGCTGTTTGTATCCGATTTAGTGACTCCATTGTTGCAACGATCGGGAGATGGCCTGCTGTACTAATATTCTTTCCGTTCCATATAAACCTGCTCTTGTCAAAGGTCACGTGAAGGAACAGGTATGTATTTCCAAGGCGACTGTATTCAAGTGAAAATGAGGTGCTGGACAAGCGATACAGAAGAACGTATATACAGAGTACATTTTTACGGTGTTAATTATTTCAGCTTACTTTTCATAATGCCGCCAAAAGACTGCTTTTAATTTGACTAAGTATGCAGCACAATTTTTCACCCTTTTCATGTCTAAATAAAGTTTTGTAAAGGTGTGTATACAGGTAAAGTTAGAAAAAGTCACAAACTTCAGGAACCTGAACCCACAAAGCAGTAGCGTTCAAATGTAAGCCTGAAATTATCAAACTGGCAATCGTCCTTTTTTGTAATGTTTAAGAAATGCAACTTCAGCCACTTTTTAAAACCAGATTAAAAAGGAAAAAAGAAAAACTCTTCTGGAGCAAAGGATAAACATGTTTGCCAGCATCTCACTACATTCAGAAAAACTCAGCGTTTCCAGTAAATGACAGTATGGAAGTTAATTCGAAAGTATAACAAAATCATCATGCAAAATTATATCATTAAAAACCTATTTAAAGGTATTGGAGCGCATTTTAATTTAGAAGAATATTACTTAAAATTATGAGTTCCGTTCACTTAAGACAGTAACTGAGCAAAATAAACCGAAATATAAACCCATAAAAGTTATTTTTAAAACGCGATTATTTGTCATAATATAGTGTTCAAGATAATTGGAAAACAATTTAGTCATTTCTGAATTACTTATTTTAATACTGTTTTGATATACATAGGCTTTATGCTTAAGTTTGTTTTTTCAGCTTCCAAAATTTATTTCAATGAAAACCGGTTTTAAAAAGTGAAGTTCAATAATTAATTTGGACGGAAACAATAAGACCACTTTTTAAACCTAAAAATCCAATAAACAATTTGGACGAAATCGTTTGAAAACATTATGCTTTGAAAATAATTATTAAAAAAATTCATTTAAGTG